GCAGCTGTCAGGCGCGTCCGCCCTGCGCCGGCCTCGCCACTCCGACTGCGCCCGCCGCCGCGCCATGCGCTCTGGGCTTCGGCCTCTTCTTCGGGCCAGTCCCCGGCCTCGGGGGCAGCGGCTCGGGACACGAGACTCCGTGCCCGGGGCCCTGGCGCCCGGATCCTGCTGAGAGCGGGAGGGGCCGCGGGTGGGAGCGCGGGGAGCCGGGAGCGCCGCTGTGCGCGCGCGCGGGGAGGGGCCGCGCCGTCACCCGGAGCGGGAACCTGATCCGCCCGGGAGGCGGGGGCCCAGGCGGCGGCGGGCCGGGCGGGCGGGGGCGGTGCGCGCGCGCGGGGAGGGGCTGGCGCCCGCCTTCCTCCCCCATTCATTCAGCCGATCCTGGGGGCCGAGGGGCTCCAGCAGCGAGCTCTGCATTGCAGGAGCGCGGGTGCGGCGCCCCAGCCAGCGCGCAGGGCCAGGGCCCGGCCGGGGGTGCTTCCTCCCCGCCGCCCTCCGCGCGACTCCCTGCCCACCAGCCACCATGTCCGACCCTGCGGTCAACGCACAGCTGGACGGGATCATTTCAGACTTCGAAGGTGGGTGCCCCCCAACAAGCTGAGCAGGACCATCGGGCGGGTGTGGAGTGCGTAGATGGGAGGCGGGACCCCTTGTGGGTCGCCCTCCCTCCGAGCGCGCTCCCGGCCCCCGCGCCGCCTACGTGGAGCATCGGGTTCTGCGGACCCACAGGGACCGCGCATGTACGGGACCCCTCGATGCCGCAAGGGTTTCCTTTTTATTGTTGCTAGTGTTTGCGCACCTCCTCGAGGACTCACGGAGCTTCCTTGGAACTATCCGGCAGTGCGCAGTTCCCTTCTCAAATCTGCCAGTCTCCTCCCTTTAGCACTGGTCCACCGCTCTTGGGCCCCCTCAGGCCTGGCGGCTAGTTAGGGCGTTAGTTCCCCGACTCGGACCGAGGCTGGACCGAGTGGGCGCCTCTGTCCTGCCTGGCGGATGGCCTTCCCCTCCCCCAGCCTGCTTTGGAGCGGAATCTGGCCAGGCGCACAAGCGGACTGATGAGGGTCCGGCGTGGGTTGTCCCGTGGCCCCAGTCCAGACCTGGGGACATCATCTGCCTTGTCTACAATTGGGCTGTGCCAGTAGAGGTAGCCTGCATGCAGGCAAGGAGAACATTTTGACTCTCTCCTCCCCTGCGGAGTTAGAAAGTTTGGAGCAGCTTGGGGTGGGGTAGGGTTCTGCCTCCGAGGGTGGGTCTGGCAACCCCCCACCCCCCGCCCCGTGTGTGTGTGTGTATGTGTGTGTGCGCGCGCGCGCGCGCCTTTCGTGGGGCCTCGTGACTGCCAGAGCAGTGGCCCTGCATCCTGCGTCCTCGGGAGTAAATACAGAGCTGGGAAGGGAGGTTCACACAATGGTCTCTGCTTCGGGGCAGGGTTCCGGAGGGGCGGGCCCGCCTTTGCCGGCCTGGAGCCCCCGCCCCTCGGAGTGGCTCCCAGGCAGCAGTGGGCTGAGCCCTCTCGTGAGCCTCGAGGGAAAGAGGCTGGGCTCAAAGAAGTTAGTTACTGGAGGCCAGGTGCCAGGCTAAACCCGGAGGTGACCAGCCTGAGGTCCTTCCCCTCCCATGGCCAGGACCTGGGTGGAGTCTGCGTGTCCTGAGCCCAGCTAGCTAACCATATAGGCCTGTGATAAGCCTCATCCTTGGGTAGGGTGATTTCCTGGGGACCAGAGTGTTGGTTGTATAAACACATGGGACCACTGAGCCGGTGGTTGGCACAGGCTGTGCAAAGCCTGGAATGCCTCATTCACTTGGTCACATCCACGGTGGGAGAACGGCTTCAGATTCTAGCACTTTCACTCCATGCTCTGACCAGAACAAGAGGAACCCTAGTGCCACGTGATGACTTGTGCCCCTGACAATCTGTACTCTTGGGGTCCATTCCCACCGTGGGGTCTCCGCAGATCTGGTAGCCCGGGATGAACGTTGCCTTGCTGAGGCTGTACCTCTTTACCATGCTCTTCCAGCCTTTTAATCCTCTGTCCCATTGGTAAGAGCCGGCCAATCAGATCCCATCCTGCAAGTCTGGAAGGAGACACTGCCCCCTTCTGGTCCTATCCTTGCATCACCCACTCTTCCCTGGACCTGCCGGGAGTTCAGGTTTTGGCATTCCTTCCCTGACTGGGTGGGGTTTCTGAGGAAGAAATCGGGGGTCCCTATAGGAGCGGAGGTCTTGTTTTCTTACCATCTGGCACAGTTTGCACAGTGGAGGCAGGTGGTATGCCTGTCTTGGGGTCCCTTGTGTGGCCATCCTCAAGCCGTTGTGCCCCATCTTTTTGACTTTCAAATTCAGCTTAAGAGGATGGGTTGGTTTATTGAGAGTATCCTGGTGCAGCAGTTGGCAGCTGGTTGGCTCTGGGGGAGACTACTCAGTCTGGGAGATGGGGGCCTTTGGTCTTCTGGTCCCGGTGAGCGTCAGTCTCCCCATTGGGTGCACTGAAGAGTGGAGCTGGGGCACTGAATATACATACCTGAGAGCCCCTCATCTCTTTGGGTGTCTGTGACTGTGCTGTAGTGTGCTTGAGGGGTCCACACCACTGCCCGAGGAGTGGAAAGCCCCCACCCTAGACCTCAGGAAAGTTGGGATGGAAGCTGTGCAGCAGATGGTGGCCTTGGACAGACAGAAGTACAGCATGGGGAAGGCACTACTTGTAAGGGGGTGTGCATTCCAGCCCAGCCTTGGGCAAAGATCTGGCAGCTTCTGAATCAGGACAGGAGAAGGTCACCCAGGGAAGGAGGAGAGCTCAGCAGGCAGCGGGGGAGGTGGAAACGAGCTGGCCTGATAGGGGGCTGGAGCATAAGGAGGGACCGACTTGTAGCGATCAGAGGGGCCAGGCTGCGGGAGGCCAGCGTGTCTTGAGATCAGTGTGGCCGAGTGGAGCTGGAAGAGCAGGCCAGAAACCGCCAGTGGGGCTGCCTACCTGCTTCAGTTTTGCCAGGTAGGTCGGAAGGGAGGGAGGAAAAGTGGCAACTCTGCCGCAGCAGCCCTCAGTCCCTTCCAGAGGCAGGAGAATGGGGGGGCCATCTACTAGTACATATGTTGCTGAGCAGTGAAGTCTCTGGGGCCAACCCCAAAGCAGGGCCCACTCTGAACCATCATGTCTGTGGGGTGATTTTCAAACCAAGCAGACATAGGGTTGGGGAGAAAGCTCAGTCGCATAAGTACCTGCCTGACAAACTCAAGGTACTGAGTTCAATCCCTGGTACCACAACCCTCCAAAAAAACAAAAACGAAAATAAAAACCTTTCAAACCAAGTAGACAGCCTGCCCTAAAATTCAGCAGGTGGTGGTAGTGGGAGGAGTTTGCAAAGGGGGGACGGGTTGGAGCCAGCAGCCAGGTTATTGTGCCCTGCAGAGCAGTAGGGAGACTACCTGGAGTAGGACCTGGTGGCAGGTGCCTAGGCCAGAGCAGCAGGCCTGGGTGGGGCAACAAGTTGCAGCCTTTGGGTACCCATGTGCCTGGAGGGTGTGGAAATTCAACTAATGTCACACATCACACCCTGGGCATGTCAGTCCCCCTTTGGGGTCAGCACCCTGCTTTTTTAACCTTTTAAAATTTTAAATTCTGCGACTTGTTCTCTTTCCTCCTTGCCTTCCTCATTCCTGACCTCCTTGAGGACTGAGGGGGCCGAGGCACCTTTCTCATCACCATGGGGCCGTGTGGGGGATTGGTCTGTTCCCCTACCACGGGGTGTCTGAGAGGGTGACCTTGTCCTCTACCAGTATGAATTTCCTGCACCCTGCCTTGGCCTGCCCTTCAAGGCCTTGCCATAGTGCCCCACCCCCACCAAGTAGGGGACAAGAAAATGTTCTGTGTTTTGCCTATGTGCTTTTTAAGAGTCTCATTGTCTGCTTCTCAGTGATTTCCCACTTCTCATTGACATCCCTCTTCCTGCCTCTAGCATGAAGACCCCCATGGTGATGCCCCTGACACCTGCCACTCCCCAGTGACAGGACAGCGGTACCCCTAACTCTGTCCCATACCCCGTGAGCAGAGGCACAGCCTAGCTGGACGGTCTATTCTTTCTTGTGTGCAGGCCAAATCTGTTATCGCAAACACAATTACAACTTGGGTCTTTGTGTAACAAAAGCCAGTCCAGGCGCCAGCTGTTGGCCTACTTTCCTCTGCGGTGTTTGCTGTAACCAGATTTGTATGCCCAGAAAGAATCCCGAAAGTCCTTGATGTTTGTTGAAACAAATCTGGCCTGGGACACAGACACTGCGATCCTGGAGCTGGCTGATGCCAGCCCTTCCTGGCAGCTTTCTGCTGTCCTTCTAGCGGGACCCTCCAAGCTGTGTCTGCGAGCTTCAGTGGGAGCTGGCCAAGAGGGTCAGTGGGGCACCCCTGGCTGAGAAGGGACCACGCAGACACTCCTGAGATACGGGACCTGGTGCTGGCTGGATCCAGACTCACTCTCCTCCTCAGATGAAAAGGCCTGTTACTCGGAGACGGCCTCAGAGACCGCCGCAGACCTGCCCCTAATTCCTGCCAGTGGGACCTCTTGTGTGATACGTTCCGTTTTCCAGCCAACGCTCGTGGCTCCTGGGAACTCCACTCTCCTACCTCTGTGGCTGACAGTGGATCCAGGAACTGTGTGGTAGGCTGTGGCCTGCAGCTAGGAGGGGCAGGGTCCCTTTCACTGATCCTCTGGCTACTGACATCATTAACTTGGGATTCTTTTTTTTTTCCTAATTATTTATTTATTTATTTTAACATTTATTTAGTGTGTGTGTGTGTGTGTGTGTGTGTGTGTGTGTGGCCAGTTCAGCCCACCAGGGGGCGGGGCTGGCTGGCATGTGGTGCTGGGGGATCGAACCGCGGTCCCTGTGCTTTGCCAAGCTTGTTCCAAGTAGGTGCTTTAGACCACTGAGCCATCTCTCCAGCCCCATAACTTGGGATTCTTTGTTGTTGCTGGAGCCCAGGGCCAGGCCAGCCCACTGTCCCCATTGTGAGCAAGTTCAGTTAGGGCAGACTGCAAGCACCCGAGTGACCAGTCATTAGCAGGATGTAGGCTTCCCTGGGCCATACATCCGGGGAAGGAAGAGACACCCTCTTTGGGTGACATCTGTCTGGAAATACTTTCTGGAGTGTCGGGCTTTCCTGGAAGGTTTTGAAAGAGGCCGGGGGAGGGGCTGTCACTTGTATCCAAAGGTAGAGGCCTTGCAGGGTGTGATTGGCAGCGTCTTATGGCTGGCAGTGCCGTGTGGCTGGCCTGCTTTGCTGTCTGGTGGTTGGCTTGCCTAAGGCTGTTTCTTCTTGTGTCAAGTGAGCTTACAAGTGGCCCTCAGAGTGAGGCACAGTGGTATGAGCACAGGCTTGCCTTGCTGGGTGTGAGGCTGCTGGGTGTAACCCTTGGAACTGGTAGGCATTGACACAGGACAGGTAGATCCTGGGTGATGGAAAGTCACAACCAAGGCCCTATGTGATTTCTCTGTGGGGGCGGGGCTGGACGGTGGGGTCACTTCTAACGTTGACAAATCTTACAAACTTGGAGAGAACGCAGAGCCCAGGAGAAGTCCCAGTAC